AATCCTACGCAGATGATTTGACTTTTCCTAGACTATTTAGTCGAAAGAAAACTGGGTGGTAAGCTAAAGATTAGCATCTTCAGAACGCCTACACATTCGGACAGGTATTATGGATTACAGTTCGACACATCTGTTTGCAGGGTCGGTCACGTGCTGACATCAGTTAGCGAACCATTGGAAAACCAAATAGGGAATACTGAACAAACGTTTCGTCCCAGTTAGGGTCTCTTCATCAGGAAGCACCCACTGGTGTTCAAACAAAAAACCTTCCCGTTACCAGGCCAGTTCGTAGACAATTAAGCTAATGGGACCCAATCCAATGGCCAGCCCATGAACTCTAACGTCTCTCTATTCTAGTAGGAAGCAGCGACCAGTAGGGTACAGCAGTTCGTAGGTGAGAACAGTTACTCATCGAAGAAGATATTGCTATTTGTTCGCGCTGTGTCATAAATTGGCAGAAGTTACAATTCATGGACTGGCCATTCGATTGGGTCCCAGTGGTTTAATGGTCTACGAGCTCGCCCTGTAACCGAAAGGCCCTATGTGTGGGTGTGTACTGCGAAGTCCCAAACTAGGCTGACGAAACAGCTATCCAGTGCTTCCTGCATGTTTTTCAATGGTTTTCTAACCGATGTCAGCTCATGATGAAATTCTCCAACCAATCAGCTAAATATTTCTTTACGAATTTATTCGTTTACGAATGGATATATGCCTCACTAATTCTCATGTCTAATCTCTTATCCTGATTATGTGTATCTTCTTATGTCAAGCTATTCAGTGGTTCTATATTCTTCGGAAACTTGGCGACCGCCTTACAGAGAGCATTCGCAAAAGGCTGAATACTTTCAACATCAGCCGCCTTTGCCCATCATTGAATATCAGATAACCAGCTTCCCAGAAAGGATAAGCGACTAGGAACCCTACTAGTAGACCAACCCGAATGAGAAGCTATGCGTTGAACTTCGTTGATTGGAAGACATGGAGATCATGCGATAAGAGAATGTAAAATACTGGGGAGTCATGGAGTCAGTTAAAAGTGTTCCCAGAAAATATAGTTCTCTTAAGTCCTCTTTAAGTATTTCCACGACAGCCCATAAGCTCTTGTCTTTTCCTTACACAATCTTATCCAATGTCACCCTGAAAGGCATGCTTCACTTGTCGTCTTCCATTCCGATTTCACTCAAGATAGGGTCTGGTGAAAGATGTCATTCACTGGTCCCGCCTTCACTTTGTTTGGGATTTTTTTCAGGCAGTTTGTGGCGAAGGCGCTGGACATTCGTCAATATAACCCCGAGCTCTCTCTCAGTATACAGAAAAGGTTTGTCCAGTCTCTTATTCTAACTTCGTCTTAACCTCTTCACTAGTCGTTCCCTGAAAAACAAATTTTGATTTTTTCTTTTCTTTTTTAATTTTTAATCTTACTTTTAGTTTGTTTTTGCTTTAATAATTAATTCACTATTATCACTCTCATATGCTCCTTCTGTACATTTTCACACCCTCTTCACTTTCTTTGAATTGATACTCAACTACCTCCTTTATTCTCACTCATTAGCAATGTTAACCTTATCAAATTTCTGTCTTTGTACCGTTGAGTACCACGTAATTTACAACTTTTAATTTTCTACTTCTAAAGCTACCTCCGAGTAATTATATCAATTATGTCACCCCGCTCCCCTATTACTCAATAATAGACCACTATATATTTTTGGTAAGTATAAATACGACTGCGCGGCAGCCTCTGAAGATGATTTTGTCGATAAAGAAGCATTTTCTTCGCTGAATTTATCTGTTATTTTCTTCAATTTATGGGATGGTTGTTTCAATGAACTTCAGAGTTCCATTTGTTCTTCAGTACTGAGCCAGTAAAGGTAGCTGTTTAATGGAGGCCTGTAGTAGCCTGTTGGAAATGCTAATCGTCACACACATGAAGACTTTGATTCCTATTAGAAGAACTGACTGACATAGCATTGATGTTGAGTGCATCATCAGACATCCAAATTGCTTTCAAAACCAAGAAGGTCTGTCTAGTCAAGTTTACTTGTTCACCAGTTGATTAGGCGCGGCCTAACCCCAGTAAAATAGGGAAGATCTATCTTTGGGGGGGGGGACAGAAACACTACCACGGAAAGTCAACCCAATCGTGACAGAGACTTCAAAGTCCACTAAGGAAGCGTTGAATTTCAGGAATCTCTTTCTATTTTTATTATATATTGATCTCATAAAACCTTAATTCTTCATTCTTTTTAAATTATTTAGAGAAATTTCAAAATATTTCGACAAAATACACAGTGACAGTAACTAGAAAAAAATTTGGAAAATAATTCTGCCCCAGCTTTTTTGTTTTTTCATATCTGCGCACATTAATACTTTAGCCTTGCTTAGATTTTAACTCCCAGTTAGCTAATATTCATTCTGTCTAAATTTAGACTTTTTTGTATCACAAAAATTACCAAAAACAGAAAGAAAAAAAAACAAAAAAAGAACGAAAATAATAATCCTTCATCGACCATTAGCAGTTCTCCTCTCCTCTTTTTTTTTAATGTTTTACTTGTGTGTGATTGTATCCTATGAAAATTCAGTCCCAGCTTTTGGACAATTTCCCAATGGATGACCTTCAGGCCGAATACAGTCAGCTTATTGGTTAATAAGAATTTTCAATGCTTCAATACACGGATGGGTAAGCAAGAAGACAGAGAAACTTACTAACTAACTAACTAACTAGCTAGCTATCTAGCTAACTGACTAGCTAACGAAACGAAGCTAAGCTAAACTAAACTAAACTAGAAGAAATAATATTATTTCCTTCCCACTATTAAAAAATGATTTTGTTTTTGGTCTTGTATATTTTAAAAATACTTTTCAGACCTCCTTATTTCTACTTTTCCCTATATATATATATATATATATATATATATATATATATACTTCTACTCTATGATGAATTTGGGAATTACACGATTCAATGCATGTTTGTTTAAATTCGTGTCTGTATGTGTACGTGTTTACGCGCGCAAGCGCGCGTCTCTGATGAATTTAAATTTAGCTCAAAAAATAACAATCATGTAGTGTAGATAAACAAAAATATCTAAACATTTCTTGAAAAAATGTCGTCTACAATTATGAAGGAAGAAAAGTGTGCATAATAGTAATTTATATTTTTAAATTTTCAAGAATTTATCGCATAGAAATATATATAAGTGAATTTTGGTTATGGTTGACTGAAAATTAAAAAGAGAATAAATTCTGAATGTCAGTAAATAGTCCATGACAGGTTGTTTGTCCACTACTGTTGTTTTACCCCTTCTCTAATCAGTAGACAAGTTTCATACATGCTGCTATAATTAGCTAATGTTGATGTTAAAGGGAGGAGAATTTAGAATGATGGAGTAAATGTGTGTGTGTCAGTTTGTTGGTTGGGAGGCTATCGACAAGAAATTGCAGACCTAGACCTCCTGCTCGTCAGCAATGCACATCTACAATCTCGTAGGAAATGATGTCCCTTTAGAGATCTGAAACCAAGTCATCCTTTGGTGCAGCCTGAGACAGTACCATTGAGGCTAGTAACCTCGGGGCTCGCTGTCAACTACATATGGCAGACTAATTGATCTAAAATGTCCCCCCATGAAGAGCTTCTCAGGTAAAATTTCACTACCAGTCTGGTCCACCAAAGCAGTTGAGAAGACATTTACTCACCGGACTGGTAGAAGCTGGAATTCATGGGTCATCCAACCGGTTACCAGTGGCTGGATGCTCTATGAGCTCTTCTTGTAACCAGAAAGTTCTAGTTTCAGAACCAAGAGGGTGCGTATTGACGAAAATGTCCATACTAGGAAAGAACACCATCCAGGACTGACATCACCTCATGATCAACCCTCTAACCAATCAAATCCTTGAAAACCCATATTTGACACAGGGAATAATACTATTTTATTCCTAGACATCCTTATGACTAAGAAAGAGAACGGTAGAGTATAAAAGGAGTAGATGGAGAATCTAAGAGCATCGACAGTTAAATGATAGAGTCCTCGCCAACCATGCACACAGTTTGTAGTTAGATGTTTGACTGACACATTCCTTAATATCGCTTAGCTGGTAGTAAGCTCTGTAAAGAGGGGAGGTTTGAGGTAAAGCTCCAAAGTCTGCTCTTTAAAAAATAAACACCACAGTTGCTGAAACTTCAGCGATCAAGCTCGAAGCCCTGTGTTTCACTGTGAAGGTAAGCAAAAAGCACATTTCGAAACTCTAAATCAAGTCGTCAGTGTACCCATCTTTTGAGTTCTCTATCTTTGAAATATAAACGAAATTTAGTTAAGCGTTTAATTCATAGACCTCGAGTAATCTGCTCAAACTACTTTCTTAATGAAGAGCTTAAAGTTATCAGAAATAACTTTGTCAACAAACTGTCACCCAGGAACGTTCATTAATAATAAAAAAATATGATTTTGCCACTAAGGTGAGCTAGAACGTCAACAATTCCAAAGGAGCTGTTGTTCATAAAGCATCAGTTTCTTTGTGGTAACATCAAAACCATTCCAATTTTACTTTCGAAAAGTAAGTTTAAACTGTCATATTTCTCCTCCTTCGTGTATCTGTCAACTTTACTACTTCTGTGGAGCTAGTTACTTCCGACATACAAATATCCGTATCATCACTGGATTTCCGAACATCATCCCTAATAGGCGTTTAGCAGGAAACCGTGGTAACAAGGCGTTTTAACTTATCTATCGTATTCCGGCTAATCTTAATTTTGTCTTATGATTTTGTCTTCTCCACATGTACCCGAAGCTATCAGGAAACCAGATAAACCACTGGTTGTAATTCGTTTGTAGAGAAACTACAAACTCGTACTCCCTCGCAATATTCATCGTCTGAATGTCTTATTTAAATGTTCTTACAATGTTAGAAAATACAACTTCAGATGTCTTATATCCTTGCAAAACACACTTGTGCAATTTGAATATATACATAAATATTTTGAAAACATTTCAATATGAACTTACAGGTACAGTTTCAGGTCTTAAAGTTGGCGCCATATTCACGACAGGACTAGATGCAGTTCTTTCTAGTAAGGGGTTGCCACGACCATTCGATTGATTCAACGTTCTAGATAAAGATGAAGTTGAATCTAAACTGCTTACACCTGAACGATCTGATGTTAAAAACTCTGATCTGAAATAAAATGTATAAAATAAAATGTATATATAATTGTAGAACCTGATGATGAATTTATCGAAAAGAGTTTTCTTTGTTCCGTGTCTATTCTTTTGAAAAAAAATCAATAAAAATAAAATTAGTAATGGTTTTGATATATTGTTGGGTATCTTTTTACATCATCACCATTGTCATTAGGCTTAGAGAAATCTTCAGTAGCACTGAAGTGATAGGAGACAATTTTGGAGTCTTTGTTGAGTTATCTAAAGCCAATTGATTTAACTGCATAGCTTTCACTGTCATTCTAGACAATATTCTAGATGTTAACTTCAAGAATTTCTTCTTAAACTTCATCAAACTAAGGGAGTTGCCATGGGATCACCAATATCCACGGTTGTAGCAGATATATTCTTGTATAGGTGGGAAAACATAGCGATTGAAACGTTCACTCCCACCCCAAAAGTATGGTGGAGGTATGTAGATGACACATTCACTGTACTTAGAACACAAGACATAGATAGATTTTTCGAACACATCAACTCGAAGGTAGAGGCAATTCAAATTACTTATGAATTGGAAAGTCAGTAAGGGAAACTTCCAATGTTAGATTGCAACGTAAAAAGAAAAGATGGGAAGTTAAACACTAGTGTTTACAGGAAACCCAAACATTCAAACAGATATTTAGACTTCCGATCATCCTATCCTATGTCAGTAAAAATAGGATGGGTGAAATGTTTAAGTGATAGAGCACAAAAACTAAGTAGCACCAAGGAAAAACTAAAACAGGAACTGATACACATAAAAGAAGCCTTGAAACTTAATAATTACCCCGATAAACTAGTTAGGATATATCGTAGGAAATGTAAAAATAAAATAAATAATGATAGTAGCGATAGTGACAATAATAATAATGATAACAATAAACATGATAATAATAATAATAGTGATAATGATAATAATGATGATATCAATAACGACACCAACAATAAGGAATCTAAATCATCAGTAGTAATTCCATACAAGGGAGGAACCTCGGAAACCTGACGCAGAATTCTTAACAAGGCAGGAATAAAAGTGGCTGGCATTCAAACCCACAAACTAAATTAGAAACAAGCTTTGTCAGTTAGAGGATCAATCCTGTAGAGCCTTTAAAACAAAACAATTTAGTTAATCTAATACCCTGCCTGCGATGCTTGTTAGGTCAAATACATAGGTCAAACTAGTAGAACAGGGGCAGTCAGACTAGCTGAACATAAAAACTTAGCAAAATCTAGATTGGTTGACCCGAATAAGATAAGAAATCTAGAGAATAGTTCAGCTATAGCACTACATGCAGTTACACACAACCATACAATAGGATGGGGTAGGATGACAGTTTTAAAATGTAATGTCACAGGGTATTGGGAGAGATTGATAACAGAAGCTTTGTTTATAGAATCAACTGCAAGCACGTGTAATAGGAATGATTCAACACCTGTCCCAGATATCTGGAAAATTCTGCTACCCCAGCAACGAAAAATAGGAGAGGACAAAAAAACTATAAAACTCAAGTTTCAAAGTCGTGTGATTACAATTGATATGATGATGAACAATTAAAAATTTTGTTCGAAACGTCATCCAGTATATGATAATACTGTTTCACTGTGTGATGCATCTAATAAGCAAGCTAATATGGAATTACTTACTACCACAGTGCCCAAGTTTAACACATATATCATCAAAAGGTCGTCTTACAGTATTACACGGTATGAAGAACACTTTAGGAATCATTACTAAATTACTGAGACTCTATGGAGCAGTAGTTCAACCAGTAGGTCACAGGTCTTAACCCTAATCCACCTACTGAGGTTTCGGCAGCCAGGTAGTACGACTGGGCCTCACATATACACAATAGGTGTGGTTCATTGCTAACTGTATCGAATAGCAAATGACTGTTGGGTAACACAATAAAACCAACAAGTATAAAACGTGTGCTAATACATTCAGAATAATTTCGTATTCTAAAATGGATACTAGGTACAAACTAATATCAAGTGTTTAGTTCTTGGTGGTGGTGCAGATTGAATGCCATCAAATTAGTATGTAAAAAGGCTACCGTGTTGAGTGGCTCAGCATGACAACGGTGCACGCTGAATGGTTGGTGGGAAACTCTAGACCTTGGTTTCACGCTTGTTCGCATCCACCACTCTTCGAGGTGTATCTCTACTCTTAAAGCATTACTTTCAGTGTTGCAGTCAGAGATGTTACCACTGAGTTGTTTGGGCTCAAATCTTAGAAGGGGCATAAGTTCCTTCAGGACTTCAGATACGTCTTGTTGACAATTGCCAAACATCCACCTAAACTAGCTCCAAGGCTTTCTGCTGTTTACCTATGGCAATCTAATTACTTTCGAATTATTGCTGCGTTTTTTTTTGCAATAATGTCAATTTCATCATATTTCTAAAAATCTACGAGTAATTTGTACATTGTGATTGTTAACTCACATAATAAGGTTTATTTTTCAGATCACATTTCACTCGAAATGTCACTATTAAATAACCACAAGTAGTGTAATCTTCAATGGTCAATATAACGTATTGATGTCTAAGCCAAGTTTAAATTCAACAATTATAAAGCATTTTGCCACTGGGTATCGATGATATTTATTATTAGTAGTATAAAACACTTTTGTATTTCCCGATGAATGAGAAAAAAGAGACGATATCGTTTCTGCTAACGTTTCCCTATTTAGTGATGCGAATAACCTTATTAGGGTAGTAATATTAAACCGGGATTTACAAAAATCTCAGCTAATACTGTAGTAACTTAATTGTAGTTCTTCAGTATAAAATAATTTTTGCGTTGTCCAGTTGATGCAAATCGGTAAACACGATAACAAACCATGTGAAGAATGTTGGATTTGATTATTACTATTATTAGTATTATATTATTTATTATTTCCTTGGGTTCCGAATGGGACATAGGGCTTCAATAATACATCTCCACTTTCTTCTAATCTCTTCTGTCCACTTCATCTGGCTAGCCACTTCCTGTAATCACTTATCTCCTTCTCCTCCTCCAAGTCACGCGATCTCCTCCATGTTACCCTCTCACTGATGACCCACTCGACTCTCCCCATTGGCATTTCACTCGAGGAACGGCCTGCACTGGGCACGACGTCATTCGACAGCCTCCTCAACGTATGTCCGATCAGCCAATCCCCATTTCCCCCTACATGTTTGATGAGCAACCGGCTATGTTTGGTTTGTTGCCAGAGTTTCTTGTCGCCAGTTCTTTCTCGTTGGCTGGCCATTTGATCTTCAGTATGGAGGCAGCCAGTGAAGTGGGCAGCTGTTGATAAAAGTTTGCAACCTGTTAAAAATATTTTTCGAAACCGACTGCCCATGTCTCTGACACATAGAGAAGCACTGACTTCATATTCGTGCTGAAAATTCCAATCATCTTTATGTTGGCTGAGTTAGTGCAGAATATGTCCAGATTGGTTTCAGGTTGATGAAGGCGTATCTTGCCTTTCCGATTCTGGCTAGCTGGCTTTAACATCTTCATCCTTGCTATCCGCTTGCCTGTGGTTGAAACCGTGCTTCCTGGCCAGAGAAGTGAAAGAGATGACCTTTGTCAAATCTCTCAAGTCGATGGTGATTGGTGCTGGTTGTTGTTGGTTGGTAATCTTCATCACCTCCGTCTTCTCTGTGCTTACCTAGATTCCTGTCTTCGCTACTTCTTCAGCCAGTTTGTTGCTTTTTGTTTTTAATTCTTCGAGTTTGTGTGATATTATACATATTATCTATGAAATCCAGATCTTTTAGTCTTTTTATCGGTGGTCCAGAGTACTCCTGTCTTCTCACTCCGCACATTTTATTGATTTGATAAACATATGAAATTATAAAAAACGGCATGTGTCAACGTAACGAAATTGCTTTTCATAGTTGTGTTGATTTCATCACTTCGTAGGAAACGATGAAGGGGTGTTGGACCCAGGTTCAAAAATCACTCACAGACTATAATTTTGATTCAAACAGTGTTCACCCATGAACCCACCTCCACGGTTATAGCCCAGTACCTTCAGATTACGAGACCAATTTTGTTGATCATTCAGCTAACTGGGCTGAAATTCAGTGACCTTTTAGGTCAAATCTGTCAGTTCGTGGTATAGCGCTACTCTCACCACTGCCTTCAAAGAACATCCATATCATCTTGAAATCGTGGACCCCACTGGTCACGACTTCCTACTAGAAAGAGGTTCAGTCAATGTTTGGCCACGGGCTGATATCATTTAGAGAACCACTGAAAACGAGGGAGTACTGGACAGCTGTTTCCTCCTAGTTTCGGACTGATGGGAAGAACCCATCCACCAATTACGAGGCGAACTCTTGGACCGGAAGGTCCTGGGTTAGAACTCCAGTGGATGCGTGCTGCCGATGAATCCCACACTGGCACGAAACAGCATTAAGTAACTTGAAGTATCACTAATACTGCTTCGACACAAAGATGGATTTCACCGGAACTTAGTGTGGAATTTGCAGCAAGGCAACAGTAAGAGTGGTATTCCAGCTCATTGACTCACTTAGGAACAAATTATATCGATTACAACAATCCTGCAGAGCCATTTAAACAAGATAATTTGGTTTATCTCAAAACCTACAATGGTTGTGAGTTCAAGTACCAAAGGTCAAAGAAGAAAGTCAAGGCGATTACTGGATTATTGGAGAGGAAAACGCTGGCGAAATCTAGACTAAAATCAGTAGGTTCTTGACCACATCTAAGTACATCAGTCTCCAGCTCATTTAGGGCTACTGGAGGAATGTCTTGAAGGTTTAGTAAGAATTCGTGACCAGTGGGGTCCACGATGTCAAAGTGAGGTGGTTGTTTATCGAAGGCACTGACGACAGCAGTGCTATATCACAGGTCATTGATTTCCAGCCTAAGTAATTGAATGATAGGCAAGCTTGGTGTTGTAAATACTCATAGATGACATCTGCTGGTTATCGCGCTAAAATCATGGATTAGTAGAAGTTAGTATTCATGAACCATTGGATCGGGTCCCAGTGGCTTAATGGTCTTTGAGCTTGCCTTTTAATTATTAAGTCTCAAAGCTTCTTTCATATGTCATAGAGTTAAATGGAGAAAACTTAAAGAATGCTAGAGAATTCCTGGAAGTCTCGTACTTAGATCAATTCGGCGGTTGTAGACTTACGAGTTTCCCTGTTCCTTTAACCCTTTGTGGTGCGTATGGAACATAGGGCTTCAAGCTTGAGTTTTGAAGTTTCAACATTATTTATTATTATTGTTTCCTTTAATTCCTAGAGGAACATAGGGCAAGTCTCCATTGCGTTCGATTCTCCACTAACGTTTTCCCTTGATCCCACGTCTCCCTACATGCTTTCATCTTCTCTTCACATCACCTCCTCCATGTTACTCTCGCACTGACGACCAACTCGCAGCTTCCCATTTAGGTTTCAATCGAGCGATGGTCTGGCTTGTGATGTCACTCACTTGATGGCTTGTTTTGTCAGAGTATGGCCAGCCAATACACCTTCATTTCTTCCTGCAGATTTCTTGCACAATTGGTTCCTGATGGGCTGGTTCGATCATTGCCAGAGATCTCTGATGATGATATTTCCTGGCCGACCACCCAATTTTGATTGAAGAACTGAGCGAAAACAGCTGTTGATGAAGGTTTGTAGTTTGTTCGAAGTGGCCTTCGTGACATGGCACCAAGTCTCTGGTCCGTACAGTAAGTAGCACTGACTTCATATTGGAGTTAAAAGTCCGGATCTTATTTTCATTTTCATGCTGGGTGCTGTTCATCTCCTCCACACAGACTTGAGAGTAGTGAAAGCTTGCCTTGCCTTTCCGATCCTCGCTACTTCGATATCCTCGTGATTTCCGTCCGCCTTTAGTTGAAATGATGCTTCTCGGGTAGATAGGTAGGTAGTTAGGAAGATGACGGAGGTTGCTTCTTTCAGATTTCTCCCATTTATGCTGGCTGATTGGAGTCTTTTATTGCTGTCTTTGTTGCTGTTAGCCAGGAATCTTCATCACCTCTGTTTTTGTCTATGTTCACCTGAAGTGATGTCCTATCTTTGATGCTTCTTCTGTCAACTTGTTGCTTTTCACTCACATTTCTTCCAGTTTGTGTGAAACCAGACGTATCCTCCAATTGTTTTGGGTGGGTCCATTTCATGCCTGTCTCCTCGTTGCCCACCGTTATCTGTCACACTATCCAGTCTACTACAATCAGTAAAATCATTGGAGACAGTAAGCAGCCAGCCAGCTTGTCTTACTCCCATCTACACTTCGAAGGATTCCGTGAATTTCCCGTTGTGGATCACTTAGCATGCAGCACTGTCGCACAACTGTTGGATGTTTCACCAGAAGCTGTATTTGTTTTTGTAAAATGTTAGTTAACATCTCTTAAATCCATTCCCCTGTCAAATGTAATCATATTAACTTAGAATTCACATTTGTCCTTGTCCAACAGTGTGTATCGGTAGCCAAGTGGTAGAATAATCGTCAGCAACGCATGTGGTTGAAGTTTCACTATCCAGCCGACTCACTCCAGAACCTCGATTAGTCGGCAGTAAGCTCTGTGAAGAGGAAATGGTTGGGCATGAGGCTGACAATCCCATCGCATAAAAATAACACATCACGGCTGTAGAAATTGATCCGTAGCTCAGGCGTAAACAAGGCTTTCCTTAGTGATCTGGGTAAGCGATTCTTCAGGATCTCAGCTGAGGTATCACCTTTAAATTCAACGCTCATAAATAGCAGTTTTTCGGCACCATTTGGGTTCTTTCAGGCTTTCGCTTTAATTTCTTTTTCTTCTCGACGAATCTTGGAGGATATCCATTGTCTATGAGGACTTGTCTGAGCCGTTCTAGTTCCCCACTTCTGAGTAATTATATCAGTTATGTCACCCCGCCTCCTTATTACTCAATAATAGACTACTATACATTTTTGGTAAATATAAATATGACTGTACGGCAGCCTGTGAAGATGATTTCGTCGATAAATAAAATTTTTTCCACTAATTTGTCTTTTATTTTTTTCATGACCAATTACAAAATAAACTGTCTGAACTGCAATAGACATTACATCAATCAAAGTGGGCGTCGCCTACGATTCCGAATCCAAGAATACAAATTACCTGTAAAAAGACATGATATACATTCCTGTTTCATATCAATGCATTTAGATAATTACGAGCACCGATATGATGGTTGGGATAATGTGGAAATTTCAAATACATGAAGGAAACGCCAAAAGTAATGCCAAGGGATTTTGAGAAGCCTGGTACTCAAGTGAATCAACGATTAATCAAATCTATCGGCTAATAAAAAAGTAAATCCCATGTCAAGAAAGTTCAAATTCCAAGTCAATAAAAATATGGTCAATGGAGATGTAAATTAACAACTAGTCACGTACGACAACGGTTGCCAGGGGATGCAATTACATCATTCCTGGGGAATTCGAATGAGTTGATTCCATACTAAAACCTGAAATGTAGATGGTGTCTAGAGGGGGAAAAATGAAAGCTTCACAACTGAATAAACTAGCTCCTCAGGGGAAACAATCAGTTCAAAGAGGCCACAAATGTATTTTATTATTGAGGTTATAAGCCACTGACGAAAACTGAATGGGACGAAATTACATATTCATACAATCATAGAAAATGGCATTCTTCTTCTCATTTTACTTAATGAAAACAAAACACGTAGATCAGTGACGAGTCTCTTTTCGGCGAATTCATTTTCTTAGCTGTACAGTCGCAAATATATATATATATATAATTTTGTATGTAAGTGTACATTAAGTTTGTCAAACAAAAATACAATTGGTTATGGTGGTTTTAATTAAACAGGTGAAGATTGGTAATTGGAGTTACGTAATACTAAATCAGTCAAGAAAATTAGGTGTTATTGAAATTAGGGTAGTAACAAAGGTGATGAGTTGTCATAAACACTTGTTAGAAAGAAGTTATGTAATAATATGAATAGTTTGATGAGTGAGTTTTACTTAGGATACACACAGGAACAAAGTAGAGAATACGAAATTATGTAAGAGATCTAAATGCCTACAAGAATTACAAGCAATTAAAGAAACAGGCAAAGAAAAAAAATTAAGTCACCGAAAATCAACAAAGTTGTTACCAAGACAGTAGAAGTGGTTGAGTAGTTCTCTTTTGTATGAACAGCTCCGGTCTCTCTATGTGAATAGCCAGAGCTTCAGCGACACAAAGAAGACGAAACCATATTGCTTTTGGTAGGTTATTCTTGACTCTGTAGATTACTTTGAAGGAGGCGTTTGTTGAAATGGAATGATCAGTGTTAACCAGGTGTTCAGTTATCGCACTCCTTACTGCAGCACTATTGCCTTTTCGCAACCATGCTGGATAGTGTTCTTGAATCCTCTTGGACAGTGTGCGCGTCGAACGACTGATGTAACTGGCTCCATAGCAGCAGGTTTCGTCTTCTTTGTATCACTGAAGCTCTGGCTATTCACATAGAGAGACCGGAGCTGTTCATACAAAAGAGAACTACTCAACCACTTCTACTGTCTTGGTAACAACTTTGTTGATTTTCGATGACTCAATTTTGTTTCTTTGCCTGTTTCTTTAATTGCTTATAATTCTTGTAGGCATTTAGATCTCTTACGTAGTTGCGTATTCTCTACTTTGTTCCTGTGTGTATCCTAAGTAAAACTCACTCATCAAACTATTCATACTATTACATAACTTCTTTTAACAACTGTTTGGGACAACTCATCACCTTTGTTACTACCCTAATTTCAGTAACACCTAATTTTCTTGACTGATTTTGTATCACGTAACTCCAATTACCAATCTTCACCTGTTTAATTAAAATCACCATAACCAATTGTATTTTCGTTTGACAAACTTAATGTACACTTACATACAAAATTATATATATATATATATATATATTTGCGACTGTACAGCTAAGAAAATGAATTCGCCGAAAAGAGACTCGTCACTGATCTACGTGTTCTGTTTTCACTAATGTCTTGATGGGGATTACACATGAATTATTTTACTTACCTTTCTAATATTTTTTTACGTAACTGTAGAACAACTTTACTCCTTGACGATACTTCCCCATCTGATTGAATATTTTTATTCAACTCTGTCACATCTTGATCTGTAATTAATTGATTTGATGTGTTCGATGTTTGTTGACTGGCGAAATTCGAGGCTGCTGCCGCTTCCATAGCTAAAATATTCGCTGCTGATGTAACAGATGTTGATGAATTCATTGAATTATGCACCCCGGTGAAACTGTGTAACTGATGATAATGTCGATTTGTCGAATAGCCGGTAGCTAAACTCAACGGAGCAGATCTTGTTCGACTAATTAATCCAAGTGATTGATGTCTACGATATGGGAATAAATGAAACAATTTATTATTAATATTATTATTGTTGTTATTATTCGTATTTGTTGTCGTTGTTGTTCCTGTATGCATTTGTGTGCTATAATTTAATTCCCCAGTCGATTCTTCTTGAATATCCGTTGAAGTATTGACATCTGACATATTTGTATCTAACTGACTCAAATCATTCGAATCGAAACTGGATGCAGTGACATTTTGAGTTGTAGGCGTCGATTTATTTGTTGGTAGGGTCGTTGGTGTCGTTGTATTATTCATATTTGGATTATTATTATGAGTATTAGTGCTCTTTTGATTAGGTCGTTGAAATTGTGCTGTTAAATTCGGTAGACTTGCACAAAATCCACTAACTGTTGAATTGAATATACACGGATTCATGGGGATATCATTCAGTGAATTAATCGATTCAATTCCCTGTGGGTTAGGACAAAAAGAATTGATCGTTTCTAATAATTCCTGATTATTATTAGCAGTAGTATTAGAAGTCGTAGTAGAAGTAGAATTAGTATGACCGCTTAATTGATTTGATTTAAGAAATTCAGCCAGAATAATATCTTGTAGTGTTTTTGACAATGGTAATAAAGGTTGAGTCATACACTTTGCTTCAGATTCCGGCAGATTTAAATCATCGTTTGTCTGAGTTAAACATGGATTACTACTAGTATCTTGTCGTTGATGTTGGCGTTGTTGCTGTTGAAGTTGACCTTGTGCATGAGACTGTGACTGTGACGGCTGTTGTTGTTGTTGCTGTTGCTGTTGTTGATATTGATTCTGTTGTTGTAATAACAATAATGACGACGACGAGGATTTTTTACCACCGCCAATTGCCTTTTGCATGCTGAAATTCGCATGTTGAAATGCCGATGTCAACTGTGGCCAAAAGCCGACGACAGACAACGGATCATTAGAGGCAACCATTGCTGCAGCAGCGACAGCAGCTGTTGCTGAATTTGCACCGAAATGTCTACGATCTGGTTTATAACGATACTTTTGTACCCCGCCAGAGCCGCTACGCATTTTTAAACTTGGTTCGGAGACAGTTTTACGTAGATTTTCACTACTTGTTATTCTTTGTTGGGATTGTTGTCGTAGCGGGTGTTGTTGTGAATGCTGACTGAGATGATGGGGATAATGTTGTTGCTGTTGTTGTAGAGGCGGTGTACTGTCATTATTTTGTCCGACTAAATTCCCGCAAATACCACTTCCAATGATGGATGTCTGTAAACTTTGAAAATTCATGTATTGTGTTTCATTTTCTTGAAATGAGCCGAACAGTTGTTGAGTCGGCTGACTACTATTATTATTACTATTAGTAATACTTATCCCATTACTAGTATCATTATTTTCGTCAATACTATTATTATTATTATTACATTGGGATAGTGTAGATTTCATCTGACTAGCTAAATTTGTACTACTCCCCGTAGATAACTTTTCAATATCAATTGTCAGTGGGGTAATACAATCATTTAGATTACTGTGTTCTATTTTATCCAGATTATTTTCGGTAAAATTTAAATCTGATATCTTATTATTATTATTATCATTATTATTATTATAAAACTGAAGATCTTTATCAGTAGTAGTGCTGTTGGCGTTATTTTTACATTTGACTGTTTGTATTTGACTTTCTTGTTGATGATTTGTCAATGGGTTCACCACTCCAATACCTTGTTCTTTACTTTTACGCTTATTTAATACACAATTTTTTAAACGTTCACGAACAATTAATGAGGTTAAATTTGGTGTATTCGATTGATTTATAATATTAATATCAGTATGCATGTTTAAATTAGTTTTGTTATTATTATTATTACTATTAATCGTAGTAGGAATAGTAGTATATAACACTAGGTGACGTAATCATCCACTCATGTATACATAGTGAACTAAATCTATTCCAGTGTATCTGTTGTCCCAATGTAGCGTTCAAATTTCACTCTGTTCAATGTTCGATGTATATATATTTATATATATTCAATATTCAATGAGGTAATCCTTTGTTTTAATGAATAGGTTGCTATTGGAAACTGTCAATCAAGTTAATAATAATTACTATAAGATAATTATTACACAGTGTATAAACGTGTATATGATGATAGTATTTTTATGTACATTTTCATGTATTTAAATGCTGACTGATTTGAATGATTTTATCCCGCCTTTAGTTAGTCAGTGTGTGTGTGTGTGTTTGTCTGCTTTTATAGTCAGTCAGGCAGTCAATCAAACGATCAATTTGTCGACCAATCAGGTTCATCGTCAATTGGTCAATTAGTAGTTTTGTATCTTAAATATATCTTATATTCCTGTTTATTTAAATGAATATATAGAGTCAGATATAGTGGTTAGAAAATTTGCGTAGGCTGAATTCTCCTCCCTTTATAACATCTGATATGAAAAATGTGGACTCACCAGTCAGGAGAAACAGCCTTTATCCCTTCTCCACATCCTCGTCGTCGTTCTGTCTTCCTCTGTTAATTCTGTACAACAACAACATTTGACGAAATTAACTGCAGTATGCATAACAATGCTTGTTAGTATTTTTGTAATACATCTCTGCGTGTCTGTTACTGTGTCTATGGTAGCTCCAGACAGAATGGATGCGTGTCGTACATGTATGTAGATATGTGTGTGTGTGTGTGGGTTAGGGAGACACAGAAGGAGAGAAGGACTGTAACAAACTACAAACAAAGGCATTAAATGTAGGGCAAACGTATTAGAACAACAAGACATTACTAACAAGATACGTATGTATAAATGTACATTGTTAATAAAGGCTATGAATGGCTGAGTGAGTGAATGATTGGCTGGCTGGCTGATTACATCATCACGTGATCTTTGTATCTATTTTCGTGTGTGTGTGTGTGTTTGCTAATGCCTTTGGACACGATTTTTGCATCACTAGGTAGATATTATTATTATTACTATTAGTAGTAGCAGTAGTAATATTATTTCCAGCCTGTCCATAAAAATTTTAAACTATTTAATTTATTGAAGGATTTCATCATGGAGTTGATATCGGATAGTGAACCATTGGAAAACCTGCGGGGAGTACTGGACAGCTGTTTCGTCAGCCTAGTTTTGGACTCTTCATCACTAAGCACCCTGTAATCAGGACCTTCTAGTTACAAGGCCACCGAGCTGGTAGACCATTAAGCAGCCACTGGGACCCAATCCAATGACCAGTATATGAATTCCAATGTCTGACACAATTCATGACAGAGAGCGACCAGAAGTTAGAATTCATGGGCTGGCCATTGGATAGGGTCCCAGTGGCTGCTTAATGGTCAACCAGCTCGGTGGCTTTGTAACTAGAAGGTGGTGATTGCGGGTGTGTACTGATGAAGAGTCCCAAACTAGACTGACGAAACAGCTGTCCAGTACTCCCCGAAGATTTTCCAATGGTTCTCCATCCGATTTCAGCTCATAATGATATCCTCCAACCAATCAAGCAAAAAACCACTAAAAATGAACGCTTGAAAAATATTGAATTTACCTTGAGAATTTTAATATTTACACATTCAGGAAGAAAACTCACTTTCAACAAAAATTTAGACTTCGGGTCATCATACTGCATTAACATAAGGCTATCAGTTGTTTCAAATCTTCTTAGAGGAGCACACGCTTTGGTGTTAATGGATGAGAAAGAAAAAGAAGAAGACGAAGAACTATCAAACATTACTGAGACTCTCAAGAAAAATAACTACCTAAAGAACTTCATCAACAAAATCAATAATGACATTAAATATGGTCGAAAAAGCGGATTCCAAAGACATGGACCTTAACAGTTGTCATTCTATATGGATCGGGAACTTTAGAAGATATTAGAAGAGTACTCACTAAACACAACATCAGAGTTGTGTGTATAAAATAAAATGCTTGGAACGTGACGAGATATACATATCGGATAGACTTCAAGAGAAATCAAGGTAATCAGAAGAAATGGGCGCCGTAGAGCCGCCTCTATTCGACTACCGAGAAATCCAGCTGAACTAGAAAAGCTTGAAAAATCACCAGCCATAGTTGGTCTACACGCGACGCTGTAGAATCAGGTCACAAAATTGATTTTGATAATATTGAAATAATCCAGAAAGATTTCAGAAATCATAAAGAACGTCTAATATCATGAGAAGCACTTCTTATCAAATAGAATCCAAATTGTCTTAATAGGAAAGATGAACTAAAACGGAATTTAACGTGGTTGCAACACTACCCTCCCTCATGAGAGTGAAAAAAATCAATACGAATGGGATAAGCAATTTCATTATGTAAACACACGCTGCTTTTATAATATCATACTCATATCCAATACAACAGTCTACACTTGGTTTTGTTATCTTTACCAATTGGGCCAACTTGACAAAGCAAAAATGACCCCATGCTGATGAACGACGATTCAAATTAGCCGCTTGCAATTCAATTCGCAGTTAGAGGAGGTGAAATTTCACCGTAGTTTCCTTTGGAAACCAAACCCAACCAGCAAACACTTTTGAAGTACGTAACCATATGATTGTACACTTTTTGGTTAGATGTTTAAATTAGAAACATTGTACATGACTCTTGTTTAAAACGATTTATGTTTAAATACACATAATTTCCGAGTGCAATTTGAAATACACTATACTGTTGGTAGCTTCGCCTTCTCTCTGGCCATTTCTGTCTACTCACCCAACTCATACCGTGTTGTATACTTTGGATTTATTGCAGGAACCTATTATCCTTATCCGAAGACAACTCTACAACCGGAACACAGCTTTTATCAGTAGACCCGATTCCAACAGTCAACGCTTCTGTGGATTATGTAAATAATTTGTAACAGTGGACTTTAACAACGTATCCAAGTAACCTTTTAATTAATACAACTCGTTACTGCATTTTGATAATATATTGTTGCGTTGTACTCTCATTGATTTGAATTTTTATTCGCATATTTTGTTATGTTAATGAACTGGCTCTTGACAGTCCCCTACACACTATCAGTTGTTAATGTGATGTATATCAGACAGCAAAATACTAACCCGCATCATCCTGGAGAGAATCAAGCACGCCAATCTGGATGAAAAACTTTGACCAGAACAGGCTAGATTCAGGAGCAACAAGTCCTGCATCGATCAAATTGCAACACTATGGATCGTTATTGAACAGAGCTTGGAATGACAGTCAGCCATCTCTCTATCTCAACTTCATTGATTTTGAAAAGGCCTTCAGCAGACAGCGTCGATCGGAATGTGGTTTGGCAATTACTTCGATAATAACACAAACAATTATACACCTCATCCAACAGCTGTACGATAATGCTGCATGCCAAGTAATTCACAACGGGAAACCCACAAAATCCTTCGAAGTGAAGACGGGAGTAAGACAAGCTGGCCGGCTGGCTGCTTACTATTTTTAATGATTTTCCTGATTGTGGTAGACTAGATAATGCAGCAAACAGTGGCGGACAACGAGGAGACAGGCATGAAATGAAACTACAAAAAACACTGAGAGAATCTGGACTTCGTCGATGACATATATGTGTCTGATTTCACACAAACTGGAAGAGATGCAAGTGAAAAGGAACAAGTTGACAGAAGAAGCATCAAAGATAGGACTTCACTTCAGGTGAACATAGAGAAAACAGAGATAGTGATGAAGATTTCTGGGCAACACCACCAACAGCAACAGACAACAATCAGCATAAATGGGAGGAATCTGAAAGAAGCAACCTCCTTCACCTACCTACCTACCTACCTACCAAGGAAGCATCGTTTCAACTACAGCAAGGACGGAACTGATGAGGATTGCATCAAAGCAGTGGGGATCGGGAAAGCGAGATAAGTTTTCACTACTCTCAGGTCTGTGTAGAGGAGATCAACAGCACTCAGCATGAAAATGAAAATAAGATCCAGATTTTCAACTCCAATGTGAAGTCAATGCTACTTACTATACCGACCAGAGAATCGTCCAACGTATCATAAAAGCCACTTCAAACAAACTACAGACATTCATCAACAGCTGTCTTCGCTCAATATTTCGCTCAGGATAGGATGGCCGACCAGAAAAGATCAGTAATAGGGATCTCTGGCAATGTACGAACCAACCCAGCAGGAACTAATTTCGCATGAAATATGCAGGAAGAAATGGAGGCAGATTGGTTGGCCATACTCTGAGAAAACAAACCATCAATTGACATCACATGCCACGCTCTCTCTAGAGTAGAATCCGAATGGGAAGCAGCGAGTTGGTAACCAATGCGACAGTGACATGGAGGAGGTGATGTGAAGAGAAGATTAAAGATGTGGGGAGACGTGGAGCCAGGTGAAAATGTTGGCAGAGAACCGAACGCGATAGAGATGTGCGGCTGAACCCTATGTCCCTCTGGGAATTAAAGCAAACAATAATAATAATAATCAATCGCTGATATAGCATCCTTTATTCATGATTACCGCTTTACGGTATCGAACTCTCCATACATACTGTGATCTGAATGATTTTGATCCTACAAAGGTATTTTTGATAAAATCTCATCTCTGACTGTATAAATTACAAGTCACAAATTAATTTCTAAATTTGACTGGACACTTGATAAAGCCTGAGCAGACGTTCTCAGTTACATACCGCCTTCCTGGTAAACTGTCCAGAGGAGCTCGACTTCGTCTCCTTCTTTCAGTAGCTGAACTGGTAGCAATCAATATCAGAAGACTATGTCTTTGTATACCGAAGAAGTATGTCCAACCTAGATGTTCACCTTGGTCTACAAAATAAGGTGATCAACAAATCCTCCATAAACATTAGCACTTCAAATTCCTATCACAATTTTCTTTTCTTTTTCTTCTTCTGTTCTTTTGTTTCATTGACAAACGTTCATTTATGGCTTTTTATGGTTTTATAACCTTTCTTATGATTTTTTTTACCTTAGGTTTCAGTAATGCTTTTCTAACTTGTTATCGCATTTACAACATTTTGTTCATCCCATTTCACTAAATTCATTATTATTATTATTATTATTATTATTATTATTATTATTATTATTATTATTTAATAATCATTCACCAACAGTACTTTTAAGTTTTCGCCA